ATGTTCGTATAAATAAATGGCTTTCGGTTATACGCCCTGATGCTCCGTACTGACCAAACGCTTTATGTGAAACAGATGTTATAGCTAACATCATCATTCCTTTTCTAACATTTAATTATGTTTGCCCATCTTTCGTTTGTACTACACCGAATACTCCTAGGACATTTCATGAGCGTCCTAAACATAAATTTAGTTTACGTTGCCTGTTTACAATATATTGCCCTGCATATAAAAAGAGCACTAAAATGGAAACCATTCCACCTTTATTGAGAACTATCACATCAAATGAGAAAGATAGTAGTTATTCCCAATAAATTGAAAACTCTGATGTATACGACGCTTCTAGAATGAAGATTGAACAAAATATTAGTGTATACCGTGAATCATATCATCAATTATATTTGAAGATATTAAATTAACAAAACTATGATTATGCTATGCATAATGCTTACATGTTCAATATTTAAAGTCAGGGACCCGACTCTTGTTATACTTTCGTAATTTTCTTCTTTCGGTCAATTCGAGTATAGATTTCCAGAATGTATAGCAAAAAGAAAAGTAGCTGTATGTTTATTAAATTTAAAAAACTAGTTCTAACAATTTATATTATGTTTCATTTGCAATTTATATTATGTATATTATATTTCATTTGCAAATTTTACAAACAGTATTTAAGATATAGATAATATACACCTGTGTTAATTAAATTTCATTTAATTTCAACACTACCCGTATCTTCAACATCAAATAACAATAGGGGTTAGTTAAACTTTTTATTCTTGCACTTTTTTCTCTAAAATGCAGTATTGAGGAGGAGGCAGGTGGAAAAAGTGCAGGTCAAAAAGATTTTATTTTGACCCTATAAAAAAGTCTGTTAATTTCAAAATCTTAACTATTTTAATAAAAAAATCGAGATATCCACTGATTTTGGGCTATTTTTTATGTTTGGGAAAAAACCTGACGTGATGGAGCATTTCTGATTACTCCAACGGATAAAATACAAGGGGTATCATACTCTTAAAAAGTATATGACATTCTTTTTGTGTGACTGTGTAATTATGTACAATAAGAATTAAATTGTTACTACTGACATATTCAAATTGTTAAATAATTTAATCCTCCAAAGGATATGTTGTATCTTTGTGTTCTAACATCACCTTTGACAAACATGTAAAAATAGATTTTTTGTTTGTTTCAAAGAAAATGAGAATATAAAACGACGATGTCAAAAGTGTTGACAACATAATTAGATTAATGTGAATTATTTTTTTACATAACTACACTTAAAGAAATGGGTTTATTAAAGTTTTCCTTTAGAATAATGTGTATAGCGCATATTAAAACTTTTATAACAAATATACAACTTTTCTATAAAAAAATCATTGATCTCCATACTCATTGTTCAATGAGTTTAACTGAAGAGCGCTTTATACACTTCATGTATCCGTGAAATAAAGGTTATAATGATTTACTTATAAATTATTATATGTTATAGACTTTATGTTCCGTTTGTGTAGTAGGGAAGATTTGTTGAATAAAGAGTATCCGAATCTGTATATAATCGTTTTCATAATGATCATGTTTCCGTTTTTAACGTTTAAAACGCGTCTTATGATGGTTAAGAGATCGTCCCCTCTCGGTGCATAATCGGTTATAATCGTAAAATTTACGACAGTCAGCTATGCTTCTTCTAGTTGGATGAGCATAGACAGTATAGACACATGTTTTGTGGGGTACATGATCACACCGCGTTGTGTGAAGTTGGAAAGTTACATACACAGCTCCACAAAAAGCGTTTTTGAGCCTATTTGTTCAGGTTATGAAAAATCCTGACGGGATGGGGTTAAATGGACCCGGAATTTGGATTCAGCGATCCCGAAATCATATGATAGACATAATCAGACTCCAGGGGTAATTTTCTCGATTTTTTTTTTGTGGAGCTGTGTTATGTAAACTGTTTTATGATTTGTAATTACTTTGCGTTTTAATATTTAAATCTTGTCTAAATCTTAAATAGTATTATCTTGTGTGCCTATTAGAAACCGCTGATGTTAAGCTTTACAAAGATGGAGACAGGAGGTTAACGGTGACAAAGAAGAGCATGAGATAACCAACCAGAAGAAATATAATTAGAAGAAAATAAAATCAACTTTTCAGGGGATGCTTCATTCTTAAGGTGGAAGAGTGATAAAGCAAATTCCCATGTAATGGGAATAATACAAGAAGATACGTCCACCTTCTGGTGGACCAAGATTTTTGTAGAATGTCATCAGTACAAAGTTAAGTTTGTGTCATATTAACTCCAGTGATTAAGATCTCCATGATCTCAAACCGCTGAATATACGTATTCTTAGTAATTATTTGGCTATTATCGTTAAAAAATAGCAATAGGGCTGTTATTGCAAATACAATGTGAGTTTTCTTCGTGTACAGATGCAGATGTGTAGTTTTCTCCGTGTACAGATGCAGATGTCACATGCATTTTGAAAACAGAGTACCTAGTTATGGTTATACACATGGAATATGGTGGTCACTTTAAATCATACATAGTTTAATTTGTTTTTTCGTATATTCTTTTCCAAAACTAGTGTAAAAAAATGCCTTATTTGCTATTTAAACTTTTTAAGGGAAAAACTCTGAAGGGTAAAATGATTAAACTATCAGTTCCTCAGTGATCCGCTAAAGTGTGCCTCCATGAAACTATACTTAACAGGTTTCTGCGATTTTTCGGAAAATTATTTCTTTCAATGTTATTTGGGGTAGTTACTTTCGGTTGGTATATCTCGTAGAAAGGTCTAATGAATTGAATATCTGAAACATTGTGACAGCTGATGTGAAACTTTCCCGGGAAACCGTTATCTTTTATTTATTTGCACGAAGATATTTATTTAGTGTAGTGGAAATGGACATGAGAACTTTAGATAAGGTTTTTCATTCTCATGACTTATTCAAAACAAGGAAAGGATGTCTCTTCTTATTCTAAGCAGAGGGCCTGCATACAGATGCCCTCCACGATTACAACGACTTAGATAAATGATCACCATGCTGTAAAGAAGAAACAGCTATAAATGAGATACGTAGAAGATTAAAAGGCGTAGTATTTTATACTGGTAAATTTAGAATATATTTTCTGAGAGGCTTATAGTCATACCATTTCTGCAAACGCAATTTTTAAACAGTACAGAATGTGGTCATAAATAGTCAATCTCTATGAAATATTAATTTATTTATAAATTCTCAAAAAATAGAGTTAATAGAGAAATAGGGCATTCAGAAGGTAATTGAAAAAAGTATTATGAAAATTATATTTCAAATTTCAATTACATTGTGCTTCAGGATGTTATAACATTACTATCTTGGAAACTCAATACTTAACGTTTCATTCTTGATTGGGAACTTTAGAAAGATTTTTAATTAAACATATTATTTTATACAGTCGATTACTGTTATAGTTATATGTGAAATATTGAAATTCAAAAAAATTGGATGTGTTCGTATGTCTACATCGTAGTAAAGAAATCCTTCTATTCTTCTGTTTAGTTAAAATTAATTTTGATCGAGAGATATCTTTCAGCACACTTGTGGCTCCAGGACCATAAATATGTTGAATTTCTTGAAAATAAAAATGTTGGTATAGTTTTTCCGAAGTCAATTGAAGAACCTATAATTTCAAGGTATGTACCAGGCTCGGTCGCTAAGCAGCAACTCGGCATTGAAATATTTGAAAAACTTGTTCCCATATTTACTTAATCATACCCATGTATAGGTCTGGTCGAACTAAACGTGCAGGTGGTAGAAATGTATACGACCAGTTGAAGAATGCGAGCGTGGCCAAAGGAAAACGAGCACAGTTGTATTGGGCTTCTGGGCAATAAATCACAGCAGGCGACAAGTGGTTCATAAAATGCCCAGCAGTGCAGTGCGTCAGTGCGGAATTTGATGTGAATCAGGCAATTTTAATTTATTATAGGCACCTTCTATCAATTATTCATATTACAACTGCGAAAGGGAGAAAAAAGAGGGATATTTTGTTTACTAATATTATCACAACATAGCATTTAGGAGACCTTTTGAAACGGAACAAAAGAAAATTTACTACCAATATAATAAAATTGCTTGAGGACATAATAATTAAGATATGTTGTTGGCCAAATGATAATGTAATAGAAATTTTCTATACATTATATACAAATTATTATAATTTTTTACCTTTAGCAGAAAACTTTTTTAGGGACGCCCATGAAACTCATTAAATTTTATTACCAGACGTTTTTTGCATATTCAACTGCCTTCGGAAGGACTCTAATGATGTGGTAAATGCAATTTTGACCCTTGCAGAACATGTAATATAGAGAAACCTTGAACCTTTTATTTTATAGCGGCAATTTTTAATTTTTTTGGGTATAAGATTTTAGCTAGAAGGCCAGTCAATTAGAAAATTTGCTGCTTTAATCATTTTTTTGGCTCAGCCAATGTTTAATAGTTTCACAAACTGCAACATAAATATAAACAAATAGTTGTAATAAACGTTCAATATGTGAAATACGTTCAATAAATGTTACCTTATATTTACTAAATAATGCATTTTTGATGTGAGTTGGTTTGCCTGCATGTATTTTGATTATTTACTTATAAAATATAGACATAAAAACGGCCGGAATATGTGCGTACTTCTGAAAACAAAACATTGGTAGATCCACTAGTAACATATCATCCAGTATATTATAGAAATGAATCCTATTTAATCTTCATATATAAATTAATCTGAAATTAATAATATGCTATCTACTCATACATTTCCTTGCTATAATTAAAATACAATAAGAGAATGATAATCACGATATTTATGCAATTCACGGCCAGAAATTATCCGTGAAAATTTGCTGATAATTAAAACAAGGATGTTCCTACTAATTCTAAATTTCGTTTGGAAATTATCCCCGGAATTTGATGGATATAAATATTTGCAAGGAGTGTGTTTTTTGTCAGTTGTTGCTTGTTGTAAATTCAGCTACAGCGGAAATTAATTTTCTTAAACATAATGTCAGTAAAAGTAGTTTTTGTGCTTACTTCAGTGTTGGCAGTAGTCTGGGCCCAGGTAAGGTTTAATTTAATTCTTTAAAATCATTTTATACAATACTGAGACACCTTCAGGGCACACAAAGGGTATGTCAAAGGTTCGTGTGTTTCCAAGTTTTAGAAACTTCGGCAATTTTGCATTGGTAGTTATGTTCTTTCTTTGGAAAGTGATTTTGTTATAATACTATAAGAAATTCACACATAACCACTGTTATTATTTATAAAAGGTGGATGAATTTCAATGCTTTTGGAGGGTTCTTTTGGAAAATTTGTATAGGTGATTGACAAAACGTATGTACCTAGTTAAGATGTTTCCAAAACCACATCACGATATCTTGGAAAGGTACACGTCATATATTCTTTGTAACCAATTTTTGTAACATCGAATAACTTTTTTATTTGTGAAAACTTTATTCATTTTTTTTGCGGTATTGTTTTTTTTCAGTTTTATTTATGTATTTTTATGTTTTTCTAAATATTTTTTTAAACATAATTTTTAAATGGAATACGATATATATTTTTCAATTCTTGGACTTGTATAAATTTTCTTCCAAATGTGTAAATACTAAACATGATTCCTTTGTAATTCAGCTGCTATTTTATATAAAGGTCTCTGCCCACTATAACGTATCATATTATGACCGTCATAGGAACGTATCAGACATAAAAAACACGATACGCGCTGATTTGCCCACTAAACGGATAGACGGCGTTCTGTGCTCCCGTACATCCCGTATGATGCCTGTATGCAATCCGTATGTTGCTCGTATGCACCCCGTATGTTGCCCGTATGTAATCTGTATCGTCATACAGAAGCCGTTTCATTCTCGCATCCGCACGTCTTTTTGAACTAGCAACAGATTACTAAGTAAAGGCGTTTACAACTATCTTTAACGGTCATCATAACCCGTGTGCTCACCGTTTTGCCCCCTGCGCAACATCGCATGCCATGCACGGAACGTATCGGCACCGGCAAAATACTCTCGCCGACAATTATTAACTTTCCGTGCATAGTACGCGACGATGCTGGTCCGGTCTAGTAGGGATAGTCTCATACTTTTTAATACAAAGAATATTTTATTACCCGTCACGTTCCTATGACGGTCATAGTATGATACGTTATAGTGGGCAGAGACCTTAATTAGAATGCCATGGATGTATCGATGAATTGATCAAAAAAGGCATAACTCGCCTTTTCATCAATTCAGAATTTTTACTTTTGGATGTATTTTGGAATATGGATAAAAATCGTCTTCTAATAATATCCATCAACAATAAATGTATAAAGACAATTTCTTGTTCAATGATTAGAAGTTAAAAGGAGCATATTATAGGACCTCATATGAAAATAATTTTAATGATACTTTTTAGTGTATCATAAAGATGTTTAAAATTTTCTGAATATCTGTTTGATTTATTAATTTTAAACATTTACAGAAAAAAACCTTCATCTCATTTTTAGGTTATTTAAATATTCTAACACATTTTAGTGCATCAACTATTTTATATTTTTATATAGGACATTCCCTGCCAAATGACTTAGGTCGTGACGGGACCAGTTTCAATTTTCCTGATTATTCATTTAGAGTGGCTTTCACGATTTTTTCAAATTTTTATTTCAACGTCTTAAAAAGTTATGAACATTTGAATAGTTTTAGTGAAAAATTATCAAATACCTGTAACTTGGCAAAAACTAATATCATAAACTTTTTTAATTTTTAGTTTTTTGAATGTTTTTGCATTTTTATACCAAAAATGTGGTTTTTGAAAAAAATGGCGTTTTTCTTCTTTTTCTAAATATTCTCAAAAAATCGTCTTTAATATGCAAATTTATGAGACAGGTTCTAGAGTAGGATCTTTTTTATTCTATTTTCTTCGAAATATTTTTTTTTTGTATTTTATTTTTTTTACAGATAATGTACGCCATTATCCCAAATTTTATTATAATAAATCGTGATGACTAATTATTAAAATATTTTAAATATTTTTTAAACTACTTGCACTAATATTGTCATTATTAAATATTTAAATTTGTATTATCTAAATATTCCGATTTTTTTTTAATATTAAAAAGTTTTTTTTGCATAATGCCATAATATACTTGTTATATTTTTGACCATTTGTATTTAGAAAAATCATTTGTATAGGTTAACGACGAAATAAAAAAAAATCTATTTCTAAAACACTTGACGGATTTTATTTTCTGTTTTATTTCATTAAATATTCCCGCCAGTGATTCAAGCGTCACTTAGAAGGATTTGATTCCTGTAGTTGCTAGTTCTCTTAAAAATTACTTTATACATATACAGTGCTATTTTTTAAAAGTGCGTGCTCTGTATTCCACACAAGACATCCCGATAAGTCTCTTTCAAATCAGGAGTTTTTAAGATATAAGTTAATAAAACTAAAAACAACTGGTAGTGTGTGGATCTGTAAAAGGCAATACGGTGTTGCCATTTAAAAAAATACTAGAAAGGCAGGCAAAGTTTGACCTTTCTCTCGGGCCTTCGGCCCTCGGGCCGCGCTGCGCGCGACTCGAGCACCACTCCGCGGTGCATTCTCTGTCGGTTGGTAAATAATATATAAAATTTTCCCCCCCAAAAAAAAAGAAAAAATGCGACCCGCTCGCGGTTCGAACCTCGGACCTTCGGCTTCGCAGTCGTGAGTTTACAAAATGAGCTACGGCGATCTAACGTTGGGTGGAGCCTGCACACGCTAATTGAAGCGTTGATTCTCCGCGAATAAAACAGAAAATTGAAAATGTTCAAATCAAGTTTTGTCGCCAAAGTTGCGTCTCTAAAAGATCGGAACCGATACCTAACGGCAATATAACGACTCACCGTGGCCCGATTGTACGGGAAAACGCGTCAAATGACAAAATTTATTTTGACGTCTTCACTGACGTTTGTCTCCATCCCTGTTTAAATATCGGATATACTTTGAATATCTCACTCCCACCGAAAAATGTCAGTTTTCGGCAAGGACTCTTTTTAAAGTGAAAATTTCACATAGAAGGCGCGAACGGATCGCCTTCAGAATACGACGTTTGGATAAAGGAAGAACCGAGGGGCCCTTCGGGCGCCTCGGCTCGTCGCTGCGCGACTCGCGAGGAAAGTCTTTGATAATACCGTACGCCTCGTTTCGCGGCCGAGTGTGGGAGCGAGAGTAACCTACAGCTTTTAATATATATGGATCGTTTTAGTAGTTACTACGGAAATATCGCAACACCGGAAAGAGTTATTTGTAAATTTTTCTTAATCAAGTTATTTCCTATAACTTTGCATTTGGAAGTACTAATCTATCACTTCAAATAAAAAAGTTGGCCCATGACAGGTTTCAAAAAATAGCATACAAACAAAAGTGTAGGAACGCATATTTGTAAAAAAAGTGTGCCATAATATAATCAATTTTAATGATAAAAACAACTGAATCACTTGAAGACAAGCAAATAAAAGCTGAGTACGTAGTCAAATTCTTCGAAGTAGTGCTTGGAACACCGGCGTGAATGGAATAATACAGAAAATAAAAGCCATGAAGAGTTTTAGAAATTTTTCCTGTCATCTTTAACCTATATTATATAAATGTTTTTACTAAATACAAATGGTCAAAAATATAACAAGTATTATCGCATTATGCAAAACAAATTTTTTAATATTAAAAAAACCTATATTATATAAATGTTTTTACTAAATACAAATGGTCAAAAATATAACAAGTATTATCGCATTATGCAAAACAAATATTTTAATATTAAAAAAATTTGGATGTACAGAGGACTCGTACGAATACAATTTTGTAAAGAAAAAATCAAAAAGGGCAATTCGAAAATACATAATTTAAAAATACACTTCTGCACAGCACTGGAAACTGGTCCACTGTAAAACCTGACCTCGCATAATGCGACCGGCGACATGGCCGCAAAGTGTGATAAAAACTGACAAAAACTTGAAAGAATTTCGCAAGGAACGAAATAAATAGAATTTTATATCAGCAAATTCAACTGCTTTTGCCGCTATTGTTATTATTAATTAATTAAATTAATTTGGGTCCGTCCTACTCAGTTTCTACGAACTAACACAAATGTTGTCTTGCCTCACCATAACACAAATGCTTCACCATAATACAAATGTTGTCTTACTTTACCATAAATTTAAACGATATCTCTCAACTCCGAGTTGTTATACACGCAAGCCATATTTGACACTAACTACTAAAAAACTATTGTAAACAGTCGGATTGCAGAATTCGGAGGCGCTGAGACTACGTGACTCTCCACGCCTATNAGTTTTTGCCAAGATACATATATTTGAAAATTTTTTACCCAAAATATTCAAATTCTCAAAACTTGAGGGGTTGAAATAAAAACTTGAAAAAATAAAAGCTGCTATAATGTGTACTAAATAATACCAAAGAATCCGGAAAATTAAAAATGGTCCGGTAGTTACCTCAGTAATTTGGCATGGAATATACCGTTTACTTTTATTTTCTGCATTTTCCTATTAATAAATAGAAAAATCGCTGTTTTTTACAAGCGATATTGTAACTAACACTAAGTAGGAGAAAACTATTTTAAAAACTTCATGAACATAGGTATCAAAATATCTTCTAGTTTCTAGAATAGAATTGTAATTCATTGTAAATCATTCAAAACTCTAATTCTTTTTATAAAACAACTATAATTTCAATTCGGTTGTAAAAATCTCTGTCTCTGATATAAGATAATCAACTTTTTACTTGCATCTTATGGAAGCTATAATTATTAGAACGTATTATAATCCGAATTTAAAAAAAATAACACAGACCCACAAAAAAAAAGTTGAAAATACCAGAGACTAGACCGACTTATCCTTATGTATTTTGACGCGCTGAAACCGAATTCGGAGTCAAAATTGCTCCATCCCCCTCCACTTTTTTTTAAATCGCGAAAAACTACCCCAAAACACGGAAAATCTTCAAATTCTCGCTTGAGCACGAGTCCGAAGGTTGAGATAAACGTGAGAACCAGCACAATAAGACTAT